TTGGCTTCTCTCAGTTGACGTTGCTCTTCTCTTGATTGCACTTGTATTTTACTTGCAGCGTCTTCCATTGTCTTCGTCGCCTCAGCCATCACCCTTGCTTCATACTGAAATTGTTTTGCTCGCATTTCCCTCTCGTTGACCTTCAACTTGTACGCTTGTATCTCTGTCTTTTGTTCAAGATCATGATTGCCCATCTCTGCAATCGCGTTCATCTCGGATCCCTTGACGAGTGCCAGTTGACCACGAAGATGTTCTATCATTCTCTTCTCTTGGTACTGATGATCAATATGTTCAGCTGCCTCGTTGGTCAATATCAGGTGGCGCACTTCAGCGCTCCATTGCTTTTCCCTTTCTCTCTGTGCTACCCCCAGCATGTTGCTGTTCTCATCCTGTAGCATCAACATCTTCGTCCGTAGCTCATCGGCGACACTCATCATCACCTTGTTCTCTTCGGTGAGATGTTGAGCCCTCCTGCTGTAGGTGTCAGAGAGTTGGTTCTGCTCTTGGATGCACTGGAATGCACCTGGCATTTCACTGGTCATGTCCTCCATCTTGGATGTTACCTCGTCAAATTGTGAATGCTCCTCATGATTCTCATGAGCAACCTCTTCGTACTTTGTGTAGATATGACCTGCCAATGATTCGGCAAGTCTGAGTTTTCTTTCAAGTTCTTCGATCCGTATGGTAGCTCCTTCATCCTCCTGCATCATCTCTTGTAGGTGAGTGTTCATTGCCATATTGCACTTTGTCATCTGCGAAAATTCTTCTCCTGATTCAGCATAGAGTTTGGTATACCCATCATGTAAACAGCTGTGTTCGTCACTCAGGTGTTGATAGGAAACTCTCACTGATCGCAGTTCCTCTATGAGTCGAACTTCTCTCTCCTCAAACTCTTTGGCATCTTCAATTTCTACCTTCTCGATATGATCTTCTCGATGTTGTTCTCGGCGAAGTAGATCTTGTTAATCTTTTCACGATCCTCTTTGCGTTGCCAATTCTAGCGTCAGACCCAGCAGAAGTCGTCTCCAGTGGAGCGACCCTTCCGTTGCCTGAAGCTTGTGATGTGGATGGCATGGTAATCACTGTGGCAGTTTCAACAGAGCTAGCATCATTGATTGAGCCAGGTGATGACTGCGATGCATTTCCTCCTGGAGCTGCGAAAGAGAATTGTTCACTGCTCTTTCCTCCAGAGCTCGACATTGTAAGTTGAGTCTTGATTGCTGTATTGGTCTCTCAGAGCTCGTAACCTTGGAGCGGCTACGGCTGATAACCTGCACGTGGATATTAATCTGCTCAACGGGAAGTATGAGTAGACACCCTCTCCCTCGTAGACAGCGATGGCGCGCTCTTGTTTTCCACTTGCCCTACGGGAGTCTTGAGCCAAATATTGGCGTGACAGGCTGAAGTATGCAGTACATATGTATACTGTGCTGTCGCCCCACTGCTATTGACATATTGAGACGTTATTAGTTATACATTGTTACATCGCATCATACCATGTTACACCATGCTGGGTCTACCGGGGGGGTTGCCCGGACTTTGATATGTTGTTACCAAACTGCAGTCAATCAACACCAACTCAACTGCGAACACAACGTTCAAATAAACGGCAAATACATCACATGGCCCTTCACCCACGTTCATCCGGAAGCCTTGGGGAACCATGGCAACTTGTGGGTAAGGCTTCCGAGCTGAGTTCTGATTTTTAAGTGGCTTGGGACCCCTCGGCCTCTTCAAAACCATTCTGCGCCACCAACCTTCCAAATGCATGGTTTTGATGCTTTTCTGAGGTTTATGATTGTTTTTGAATGTTTTTTGGTGTCCTATTTTTCCCGAAAGCATTGCGAAGGGTTCTTCCGGAAAATCCCTTGAACACTGACACTTCGACACTTACACTTACACACTGACACTTCCACACTTGCACTTGAACATTGACATTTCTACACTTACACTTGAACACCTACGCTTCCACACTTACACTTGAACATGAACATGAAGACTTACACTTCTATACGTATCCCAGTGTAAGTGGAAGAGTGAAAGCATCCAACGGCAAGTATCCAAGTGCAAAAGTATGCAAGTGTAAAAGTGTAATGAGTATGCAATGAGTATGCAAGTGTGAGTACGGAAAACTTGCACGGGAGATGTCCTAATGACAAACATTTCCCACTTTATAAATTCTCTCTTAAAGGCGGCGAGTGGGACGAACAGCGTCAACCGAAAATGCAACCCTCTGCGGAGATCGTGCGTGTCGAGTGCGCGAAACGCAGGCGAGAGTGCGATTTGTCCCATGCCCGCGCAACCCTCTGCGGAGATCGTGCGTGTCGAGTGCGCGAAATGCAGGCGAGAGTGCGATTTGTCCGGTGTGCGCGCAACCCTTTGCGGAGATCGTGCGTGTCGAGTGCGCGAAATGCAGGCGAGAGTGCGATTTTTCCGGTGTGCGCGCAACCGTCTGCGGAGATCGCGCGTGTCGAGTGCGTGAAATGCAGGCGAGAGTGCGATTGGTGCGGTCCGCGCGCAACCCTCTGCGGAGATCGTGCGTGTCGAGTGCGCGAAATGCAGGCGAGAGTGCGATTTGTCCCATGCCCGCGCAACCCTCTGCGGAGATCGTGCGTGTCGAGTGCGCGAAATGCAGGCGATAGTGCGATTGGCGCGGTCCGTGCGCAACCCTCTGCGGAGATCGTGCGTGTCGAGTGCGCGCAATGCAGGCAAGAGTGCGATTTGTCCGGTGTGCGCGCAATCCTCTGCGGAGATCGTGCGTGTCGAGTGCGCGAAACGCAGGCACTGGCGACTTTCTAGTACTACTTTAGTACGCGGAGTATGGGGGAGCTGGAAGCTGAGAACTGGCGACTTTGTAGTACAACTTTAGTACGCGGAGTATCTGGGGAGCTGGAAGATGAGAACTGGCGACTTTGTAGTACAACTTGAGTGCGCGGAGTATCTGGGGAGCTGGAAGATGAGAACTGGCGACTTTGGAGTACAACTTTAGTACGCGGAGAAATCTCGCAATCTGTGGAGCTGGAAGCTGAAAACTGGCGACTTTGTAGTGCAACTTGAGCACGCGGAGTCTCTGGGGAGCTGGAAGATGCGACTTTCTAGTACAACTTTAGTAACGAAAGCAATCTGTGGAGCTGGAAGCTGAGAACTGACGACTTTGTAGTACAACTTTAGTACGCGGAGAATCTGGGGAGCTGGAAGATGAGAACTGGCGACTTTGTAGTGCAACTTGAGCACGCGGAGTCTCTGGCGAGCTGGAAGATGAGACCTGGCGACTTTCTAGTACAACTTAAGTAACGAAAGCAATCTGTGGAGCTGGCAGCTGAGAACTGGCGACTTTGTAGTGCAACTTTAGCACGCGGAGTATCTGGGGAGCTGGAAGATGAGAACTGGCGAAGTTGTAGTACAACTTTAGTACGCGGAGTATCTGGGGAGCTG